AGGACCCACTGTCTCGGACCGAGTGGGCTGAGCCCTGTTGTTACGTGCGAAAAAATTGAAAGGTTTTCATTTCTTCAGATACTATCCAGAATTTCATGGTTGCAACACGTAATTCGCGCACAAGACAAAGTTGGGATGAGAGAAAGGACGTCTTTGCACCAAATAAACAACAACAACAAGAAACAAACGAGTAGCATTTAAGAGGAAGTCAAGGGAGATAACGGGAGCCACACGAGTGTGTGTGATTTAGACCACGATATTTGTGGATTGATGAAGGTCCCCCGAGTTTACATCACGTTGTGGTGATCTATTTATGATATCAAGCAAGAAAATTAATCATCTTTACTCACAGCCCCCAACTACTGGTCACTGGCAGGCCAGTACATCCGATGTCTCCAAAATGTTTTCAACAAAACTTCAATTTGTTTTCAGCATAACATCCATCTGCTATCAAGATGTTTTGGGTCAGTCACCAGCAAAATATGTCATACCACCAAAATTGAGATGATGTCATACAGCATCATAAACCTGTACAAACCTGCTCCTGTATTTCCCCACCAAGAATATATAGTTTATTAACCTTTGTGACATAAATTGACTGAGTTATTGAGGTTTGAAAAAAAAATCACGGACAAAAAATACTATTTTTGTACTGTACCTAAGAATTGATTCTGGAATATCTTCCAGCTTCGTCAATATACATACACAAAAAAATTGATATTCCTTTTGAAAACATGTTTCTCCACATTTTTGTCCCCTAAAGCCTTCCTGTATGGGCAGTATTTCTACATGTAATTCCTGAATGTGTCTGCAAGTTTGATTTTCTGAAGTTCTTTGCCCCAATAAAAATTTTGAGGCAACATATTGCCAAAATCATTCTGAATTTGATTGATATACATGTAGATGGTATTTGACAAAAACTTCTGCCATAAACTTTGCCATATTCTGCCTAGAAACAAAGAATCAATCAAATTGTTCACTGCTCGTGTACACACCACAATTACATATAGAAATACTGCCCACACAGGAAGGCTTGAGGGGACAAAAATGTGGAGAAACATGTTTTCAAAAGGGATATCAATTTTTTTGTGTATGTATATTGACGAAGCTGGAAGATATTCCAGAATCAATTCTTAGGTATAGTACAAAAATAGTATTTTTTGTCCGTGTTTTTTTTTTCAAACCTCAATAACTCAGTCAATTTATGTCACAAAGGTTAATAAACTATATATTCTTGGTGGGGAAATACAGGAGCAGGTTTGTACAGGTTTATGATGCTGTATGACATCATCTCAATTTTGGTGGTCTCCCAACCACTTCTCAACAAATTCTCAATCAATGGATGTTATCCATTTGGTATCCATTTCATAACTTTCTCATAACTTGCTCATAACTTGCTAGGGTCGGTGGGAGGCACTGGCCTGCCAGTGACTTGTGATTGGGGGCTGTGACTTTACCAAGTTATTAGAAAACTTCAGTGTGACAGGAAATTTGAAATTCAGGTTTTCAGATCAATTGAAGCTCTTAGAGGCTTATGTATACTTATTAGCTTAATATTATGTCATCTCATTTCAAAATTATTCTTAAGATCAACATAGTTTACTCACAAAGTTATTACAAAAAGAGAGAAAAAGAAAAGATAAGAAAAATTCGAAAATATAGGTGTAAAAGTTGGAAAATGGTTTTTAGCTTATTTATAATTAAGTTATGGGTTTTATAAGGTTAGAATATGAAAGAACAACAGTTTATTATACAGTAACAATTTTAATCTTCAAGGTTGATAAGGGAAAACAGATGTTATTAGCAGAAAGGTACTTTTTCGAAGTTGGTAAACAAGGGTTATGCGTGTAGTTTACATATGTAATGGTGGTAGTAGTGGAAATTAAGGTTGCCAAGAGGATTTTCCGGGATTTTTAAGGTTATAGAAGATGATGTCATATTACATGAGCAAGAAAAAGAGAGTAGCAGCTGTGAAAAGTGAAGAAAATGGGTGAATTTTGTAGAAAATGTAGGTTTTCAGCTAATTACATATGTCAAACGACGTCAGATTAAGTTGGTAGATAGCTCATTCAACGCAGAAGAGTGGATTACATAATGTAAAATCTTTAAATCATTAGTAATGGAGGTGTATGTAAAAAGTTACAAGGCAAATAAGAAATTGGTGTGAATCTCGAATTTACAGTCACAAGTCAACATGTAACACCAAAAACCTTAACTTCACAACTCAATATCTTACTCATCACTCATCAGAAGTAGGTCATATAGGTGTCATAAATGATCAGTAACACGTGGGCTACAAGACGCACTTTAGTAATCAAAAATTGGAGCACATCTGAAAAAATTTGTAATCTCAAAAATTGGGTTTCAGCTAGTTTACAAGGAAAAAATCACCTGTATTCATCTTAAGAAGTGCTGTACATCATATTATTGCGTCATTGATCACTTTTGGCTGTGAAAATTACATCATACATTAGTAACAAGATCATTACATTGCGTCATTACATGGTTTTTAGGGTTATTTAGGTGGATTTGATTGGTTTTTGAGGCTGTTGACTGTTGTAAAAGTTGTTACATGTGGATATAAGTACTCCTCGATGATTTTAGGATTGTAGCGCCCTTTTCTGCATCTTATATCTTTGTTGTAGTGTTATAAATCATCATTTATTTACTATATTTGTACTAAGATCACTTAAATCCGCCCCTTCAAAGCAAGGAGAAATTTATTTACGTGTGTTAAAGACTACAAGTCAAATTGGGAATAATACTTACAACAGTATTGCTAGTAATAACATAGTGTGTGACTTTTTTTGCGCTTAAAACTGGGAATAATACTACACAACAGTATTGCTTTATTTTCTCTGGTGCCTTATCTATTTCTCTGTTATCACAAAGTGGTCAGCAAGTGCCCTTGTGCTGGTTTCTTTGAAGAAGGCAGTCTTTAGGCAACTTCTACTATATTACACGTAGTAGATTATCCCTTCTTAGGTGTTGTAAAGCGCTTGTTGAGCTTTAAATACTACAACGTAAAAGCAAGTAAGTCAGTCTCTATTCTCTTCTTAAACTTGGGGGCGTTGCTCACCAAGCATTGTTTTCTTGGGCTTTGCCTTTCCCCTTACTGTTTCCAGCTTGTCTATTAGCATGCTGGTGTCCATGAGCTACCCAGTCATGTCCCCCTTGATTACCGTACGCATTGTTTTGCGGGTATTGAGGAGTATTGTTCTGATGATACTGGGTTGCAAAAGAGTAGGGTGGATAGTTTGGGTTAAAACCGCTTCCTCCTTGATAACCTTGGAAGTGATTCCCATGATTGGGTTTTTGATTAAAGTAAGGTTTCTGGCCATAGAAGTTTCCACCTTTATTACCCCTACCCCTATTCCCTCCTCTTTTCCTCTTGAATTGCTTATCTCCTCCTCCTTCATTCCCTAGCTCTTCATTGGTTCGATGATAGAACGCTTGTTGTCTCGAAGAACTCGCCGTTGGGGTTTGTCTGACAATGGGTTGGCCAGTAAAGAAGTCGTAGCCATGTTTCTTCTGGCCAGGGGCGTATGGGTTCTCCTCAAATTTTAGATCACCTGCCATCTCCGCATCCCAACGCGCTCTTCTAACCGCCTCTTCTTGGACTCCTTCAGGTAAGACTACCTTCTCTACCTTTTTCCCTCTTTTTCCATTCTTCTTCTTCTTGTACATTATCCGAGATCGTTTACAAAAGATAAGAGCTCGAATTGCTAAATGATACCTTAACCCAATCATCCAGCATCTGTGAAGCACCATCAATTGATTGACCACTTCTTTATGTCTCTTAATGTAGGAGGCGTAGGCTTTGTGTCCGTACAATTCTGAGGCGTATCGGACTTCAAGGTCACAGGCCAGGATAAATTCGCCATATGTCATTTGGCGTTCCAAATCACGTTCTGAGGTATCTAAGTTGAAACCTTTCCTTTTCTTCTTTAATCCATCATCCACTGACGAGTGATAAGTGTCAATATATGATCTTTTGAATACTGGCAAGGGAACATATTTCTCAAGTTTCTTGTAACACTTGTCCCAGTGATCAGGGAGGTCTGGTAGGTCCATTCCTGCCAGGGGCATCAGTTCGAATTCAACATTTGCTTTCAAAATCAGTACTCCATTATCTTCCGCGCCTGACAATGAGTCGGAGGAGTCAGAGGAGTCGGAGGAGTCCGATGAGGATGAGGATGAGCTCGTGGAGCTAGATCCTGACAATGAAGATGAGGTTGAGGAATCTGAGCTGGAAGACGGTGAGTCTTCGTCGGAGCTAAAGGTGGATTTGTCCTCTTTCCCTTTCTTACTCTTTGACTTCTTCTTCTGTTTGTCTCTCTTTCCTCCCTTCTTTCCCTCTTTCCTTAACTTCTGTCTCTTTTTTCCTCCTTCCTTCACCTTCTCCTTTTCTAACCTCTTTACTTCTCTTTTTAACGCCTGCAATTCCTCTTCTTTCACCATCTCCTTCCTTAGAATTTGAATCAGGTCCATGTCTGCCCCATTGATGGCTTCGACCATCCGATCCACTAGCGGGCGCTTATTGTTGGAACCTGTTGTCAACGGTCTAGACTCTTGACAGGTGTCCCCTGATACCGGAGGAGGTAACACAGCTTGGGTTTCTAGAATTGGCGGGTTTCCTGAAAGGTGAGCTGACCCTACTGTAACATAAATTTCACCAAAGCAAGACGTTAGTTAAATGTCTTTGCTTCTCATATTGCTCTCAGCGGATGTATGTGAATGAGGAGGTGTATCAGGAATCCACTGCTACAACCCTAGGTACGCGGAGCATCCACCTGTCCTGTTGTACCTTATTTTGATACTGATTCAGGATGGTTCATCTCAACGCTTAGGAAGGTCACTCACTTATTCATCCCTTGCTTGTCAACCCGCTATTCTCAACAGGGAGCCTTCTAAAGGCTACGACCTCAGGACTTCATGAGTGCTTCCTCCCCTTCTTCATTTGCGGGGACAGAATTAAAGGAGGGAGCCCTGATGGGCTTCTACCATCCTAATGTATCTTTAAGAGCTTCAACCAATTACTAGAAAGAAGCTTTGAAAGGATTATGTGTATCACGGAATATGACTCACTATGATCATCTTCGAACAATCCAGCGTAAAGGACTCTGTTCTTCATCATAGCATGATCATCCATTTGTGAGTCATCTAGATTACCACTTGTAGTCGCTTCTTTCACTCCTTTTGACCTCTTTCTCTTCTTCACTGATTTCCCTTTCCCCCCTTTCTTTCCTCCTCCTTCAGATATTGAATCACTGCTTCCGTCTTCATCACCATTGGTTAGGTCCAACACCAAACTCTTCTTAGAGTTGTCATTTCCTCCACCTAATTGATTCACCTCTTGGCTTCCTTCTCCCATATTCTTCTGTTCTTGTGGAGGGGTTAATTTGCCTGTTTGATCTCCTCCCGAGGTGTTGGTTGATTTTGACGTCGTTAATCCAATTGAGGACGTGTTCCCCTTTGGGTCTCTGGAACCGGCTCTCCTTTCTCTCTCTTCAGCTTGCTCTGTCAACTTTAAGGTGTGTGCCAATTTCTTCTCTTCTTCAAGTCTAGCTGCTTCTAACATTTTCTCGGATTGAAATGAATTTAACGGTTTCTTTGGTTTAAGCTTTCTCCACATTCACGAGTGTTAAAGGATGAATAAATGAGGTTTCTTTGGTTGTAATATTTTTATTATGTTAAGTTTTTTTAGAAATTCAGCTATGAGCACAGAGAGCAATCTTGCGAGAGAGATAGGGTTCAGCAAGAGGAATTTGGCAGGAGAGGGAGGAAAAATTTTCTCTTCTCTCCTCGTCTTCCAAATTTCAGATGGGAAATGGGTGACATCCTCTACCCATCTGTGACACTCCCTCCGCTGTACCTGTCACTCTCCCTCCTCTCCAAAGAGTGGAATTCAGAGTACCGTCGCGAGCTAGGAACACTACCAATATACATACACAGCCCCCAATCACAAGTCACTGGCAGGCCAGTGCCTCCCACCGACCCTAGCAAGTTATGAGCAAGTTATGAGCAAGTTATGAAATGGATATCAAATGGATAACATCCATCAATTGAGAATTTGTTGAGAAGTGGTTGGGAGACCACCAAAATTGTGATGATGTCATACAGCATCATAAACCTGTACAAACCTGCTCCTGTATTTCCCCACCAAGAATATATAGTTTATTAACCTTTGTGACATAAATTGACTGAGTTATTGAGGTTTGAAAAAAAATCACGGACAAAAAATACTATTTTTGTACTATACCTAAGAATTGATTCTGGAATATCTTCCAGCTTCATCAATATACATACACCAAAAAATTGATATTCCTTTTGAAAACATGTTTCTCCACATTTTTGTCCCCTAAAGCCTTCCTGTATGGGCAGTATTTCCACATGTAATTCCTGAATGTGTCTGCAAGTTTGATTTTCTGAAGTTCTTTGCCCCAATAAAAATTTTGAGGCAACATATTGCCAAAATCATTCTGAATTTGATTGATATACATGTAGATGGTATTTGACAAAAATTTCTGCCATAAACGTTGCCATATTCTGCCTAGAAACAAAGAATCCATCAAATTGTTGACTGCTCATGTACACACCACAATTACATATAGAAATACTGACCGTACAGGAAGGCTTTAGGGGACAAAAATGTGGAGAAACATGTTTTCAAAAGGGATATCAATTTTTTTGTGTATGTATATTGATGAAGCTGGAAGATATTCCAGAATCAATTCTGAAGTATAGTACAAAAATAGTATTTTTTGTCTGTGATTTTTTTCTCAAACCTCAATAACTCAGTCAATTTATGTCACAAAGGTTAATAAACTATATATTCTTGGTGGGGAAATACAGGAGCAGGTTTGTACAGGTTTATGATGCTGTATGACATCATCTCAATTTTGGTGGTATGACATATTTTGTTGGTAACTGACCCAAAACATGTTGATAGCAGATGGATGTTATGGTGAAAACAAATTGAAGTTTTGCTGAAAACATTTTGGAGACATTGGATGTACTGGCCTGCCAGTGACCAGTCGTTGGGGGCTGTGATAGCCGTTCGGGCGCTCGAAGAACATTATGTAGGTTACAAATCAAGATTTGCATTTCACTGAGCTTCACCAAGGGTCACGCTAACTTGACATTCCCTCGATGCTGACGTGAGCATTGAGCTCACGCAAGCCTGTTTCTCATGGACCACCTTCTGAATTGAACAGTGAGCTTGATAAGGCTTGATAATACGGTTTATTTCTGGATTCAACAATCAAGATTCAAGTCTTTGCAAGTTCACTCCAATGGTTCATTTTCATTCCAAAAGACAAAATGTTCGGTCCGCTAAGTCACGTAACCGGTGGTCCCGTTCATTGGCACAGATCACAATTTCAAGCAGGACCCAGGAATGCGCCTGTTGAGGTATCTGATGAAACCTGTTTTTCAGTTTTTGGGCTCTACACAACACACCACTCCTTGTCTCAAGGTCCAGAGCACTTCAAAAGATGCGCATGGACTAGGGCTATCAAATGAGCCTACTCCCAGCCTCTCAACTCCCCTCAAGTTCGCGTAAAATCGATTGGCGCAATTTTTTTTTGTGCCTCCAAGGCCTGATTCCGACGTTCGATTTTAAGGCTCTTTTTGACCGTTACATCCCATTATCTCAGGAAGTATTGGTGCTATGAGGTTGAAAGCTAGCCTAAACGAAAGCCTTTAATGTCACGCACATTTTGCACTGCTGTAGGTGCTGTGAATGTGTCGTTTAGTGCCCTAAAAACCCGCCAACAGAACGTCGGAATTTACATCACATACCTCTGTAGGCGCATTCCTGGGTCCTTCTCAAGCTAAGACAAAACGTGATTGTACGTGGCAAAGGGAAGAAAGCAGCACGAGAAAAAATATTTTTGGAACCGGAAACAGAAAGAAAAACAAGTTGAGCATTCAAATTATAACTTTTCCAATTTCACCTCATTTGCACCTCTGTACTGCATAACGGCTTTCATCACAGGAGTTAGAGAAGCTGCTATGGACAGGTGGTAGTCATGCATTTCACTTTATTTCATTTCAGACTACATCACGCCACATTCACATACATACACATACACACCGTCAAGTTAAGGTAAGTTGACCCAAGACAAATCAACGATCACTGCTCATCACCACCTCACCAACACTCTAGCCACCTATCACACACACCTACATTATTAGACAACTACGGAAGCGACTATGGTCAAATGAATTTAACGAGCCGGAGCCAACTAGATGAATCTGTATCAAGGAACCTGATTGAGAAGCCGATGAAGCACAGATCCTGCAAGACTTTTCAAGCAAGCCAACCAATTCGAGTGACATCACATCAGCCATGCCAGTTAAATTATATTGCTCTATAGCCTCAGAAAATTGTTTGTTATAGGCTTAATGATTTCAGACAGATTGTAAGGACCTCCAGCCATAGCTTTCTCAACTTATCAATTGGGCGCAACTCCTCCATTGAGCACAACTCATTCATTGAGGGTAACTCCTTCATTGAGCATGCCCATATCTAGCATTTGCATAAGAAGGATCCAGCTATCATTTGATCTTGATATCACTGTTTCACCCATGGACTTTTAATTTGTATTGGTTTTATACAGAGAGAAGCAATGTTGGAATGAAGACACATGACCCTCTCCTTTGAGTGAATCCATGCTAATACATGAAAATCAACATTCATCGCCTCAATGGTGTGTTTTACCAAATGCTATCTTCGTGATGAGCGTGTCTTCTTGAGTTGAAATAAGACTCCCGCGTGTACTTTGTGCATGCTGAGTAAGTACACTGCTGAGTAAGTATGATTGAGCATGTCCTTTGAGCCATATGGTGTTTCAAGCCGCGCTGTTGGTGAGATGTGAGCTCCTGGGTGAGGTTTAAGTCTTTAGTAATCTTCTCTGCCTGTACCTGGTGCCTACAAAGCCAAGTAGTAGTAAAACTTACCAAAGCTTGATATATCATATTTCAGAGGGCTACCGTGTGTGTTTTTAAGCGACATATAGCTAGTCTGGGTGGTTGGTGTCTTTTGAATCCCCTGAGATAGCCAAAAATGTCAATGTAATGTAAATGGGTTCTTGGCTCCTATGGAGGAAGGTTATGAGCAATTTTGTATCTGAGTGTGCAAGATTGGTGCAAGAAATCTTGCACAGTTTTTGCGCAAGTTCGAAAGCCATGATACAATCAAATAGGTTAGAATCTTTGGATGCAGAAAATGTTGCTAGTTGGGTGATATCCATGCGGAAATCCCCAATAATGCATTACTCTCAACATGGCTTGTCCGTTGTATCAATCACATTGTCCGGGGTGATGTTTGATCCGAGTTTGACTGCTTGAAGGGCTATGCTGAGACCGTGATGAATGAACCGCGAAGAGTTTGTAATTGCAGAGACTTGTTTTTACCAAGGATCATTATCTGAAACTCGATCCGACGAAGGTCTATGTCACACCTTCGAGGAAATTGCTCTCGACCTCTGCAGCTGTGCAACATGGACTCGATTTTTCAAAGGCACAAAAAGACAATTTCTAATTTCCTCGCTTCGAATCCAACAGACAGTACTTCGCGCATTCATCTGTTCTTTCAATTATTCGTCAGAGCTTACCCTCTCTTTTCAACATCTGATGCATATTTATTGAATGTTCCAGCATCCTCGTCAGATCATTATCCACTTCTCAGAGATCCCTTGCGTACCTAGACATACTCCGGTAGATTCAAATCACCTGTTAAACCTACACCAGTATATATCACATCGTCTTATTTCCATCAACATATCCACTCAAGAAGCCAGTAGATTTCATTTATCTCCCGACTATGACGATTAACATTCAACCTCTAATCAGAAAAAACCTCTCATTATCATCTCGACTTAGCCTTGCTTTCCTCTTCTTATCATTCACCTGCCTTGTCACCAATAGTCCTATCCCATCGGTCTTGTCATCGGTGGGCGACCTTGGCCAATTAGGCGGAAACTTGGCAAAGGGGGCCGATAATGTAGCAGCCGGAGGTGTAGATACGGCCAAACTGACAAAAAATCTTGGTTCAGTGAAGTCAACATCTGCTTTGGACGACGTGGCCGATATCAAAAATGTAGACTCAATATCGGACGCTTCCAAACTCAAGGAACTGCGAAAATCCGATTTGGGGGACACCCCAAAATTCCCCGATACAGTCGTCAAAAAGACAACTGAACTTCCCGAAACCCCACAAAAAATTTCCACAAGAGTCGATGATTTAGAGGCAGAGACCGCCCGACTTGTTGAAGACACGGCCAAGAAGTCCAGAGGATATATCACTCTCGGGGTCGTCAAGATAGTCCGATCGAACCCAGGTCTGCAAACCACGTTAGAAAAGATATATATGGCACCTCGAAAAATTAAAATGGCATTGAACGCTCTCAAAATCGATCGTGGAAAGAAAGAGGCTCTGATCTTACAAATGAGCGGAAACGGAGGCGAAGCACTCCAACAACTTAACCGCGTAGAAGGCATCATTGCAAAAAACCGAGTTCTTCGTATGCAGTGGGCTGACAAGATCGGTAGGGCTTACAATATCAAACATGGAAGCAGATTTAGGTGGTACAAGTACATCAAATTCTTTGGAAAACGTGGTAAGCAATATGACAATATCATCAAGAATTTCAAGAATGGTGAAGAAACACCTGGACTACTTGAGGCCGCCAACAAGATCAGAGCAAAGAATGCCGTCAAAGTAGCAAATGCTGAAAATTCACTGAAGGCAAAAGAAGCCAGACAACTAAGAATGAAGAACTACAGGGCAAATCATCCTGGTATGGCCAAATCCTTTAATCGTATTTCTCGTCAATGGAAGGCGTTCAAGGACAAGTTGGACTTTGCAAAAGGGAAATATCACGTCAAACAACCTTCAGAAAACCCATCAACAGCTGCAGATATTGGGCAGCAGACACAGAATGTCGGAGCAGATCCCACACGAATGCAATCCGGAACTGACTTGGCTCACAGTACACAGGTATCACCTGGAGTTACATCATCAAGCCAGTAAGAAATACGATACTTGTCCAGATTTATCTCATTTTTTAACTTTTCAACTTTATATTTGAACAAGCTCTATCTATAAAACGAATAACCCTCTTAGACTGGCTAACTTTCTAGCGTTGTAATGAAACTATCATTATCACTTATCATTATCTTCATTTCATATGTTTCTGTTTCTATTTCTTTTTTATCGCGGAAAACATTTTCTGTGCGATGACTTTCATATAAGTTTATCTTCTTTCTCCATGCATCATTTATAGTTCTGTTTGTTTGTCACATACATAACGCAATCAAAGTTCACGATTGTTCTTTTCCTAAGTGCCAGGCGATTCCCTTTTACACTCTAGAACTGACTTGTCAGTTCTCGAAAGCCAATGCACAGAGTAAAGCTCAATATTGCGCCGGTGACATGTTCATGATGTAGCTGACGTATACTGAGGAATCACAAATGGGATGCTCAAGAGAGAGGGGGATTTATCAGTCGTCGGATAAACAGACAAGTAGAGAAAAATCGATGAAGATAATCAATACTTTTTGATATAAGAATAATCAAACAACATTATGTGTATGTGAGAAAAGCAGGTCACGGACATCACTGACAGTGATATGCTCATAATCATCATGATACACCATATAATAATAGCAGTTAACCATCTTAACACTTGTGCGGCTTTTCTCGGATTTCTATCTTCGCAGAGCTGTTCCTTTAGAATTGCCTGTGAACTTGACAGACATCGGCTAAGCTCCTCGGTAGCACCATCGTAAGGAATTCCGGGTTTTGTTATATCATCCACCCGTCATCTAGAAAAGTAAGGATGGCAATGGACCACAAAAAATGGGCAAAGCTCAGAAAACTTGCTTGCTTCTCTCTAACAGTGCCAAAAAGTGAGGGACACAGCTAAGGAGTAGTTACATCAAGATTGGAGTTTCTTTTTTGTAAGTCGAAGAGCTGCTAAAAAGCAAAGGCACAGCACTTTGACTCTCAGTAGGAAGATGGCTGTACCTCTGAGACTAGCAGAGTGCATGCAGGTAGTGAGCCTTACTGATTCACAAACATCTCTCAGTACATTTTTGATGATACGAATCTTCAGCTGTAAGCTTCAACTTTACTGTGATTATGTACCAATTGTAAATAAAAGTGTCAAAGTTTTGTCAGGCCCAGACCTGCTCTTATTCATTTTACTCCCATTTATCATCTTACATCCATCCAAACTAGATTACCTTTTACTTGATCTTCTCAGCTACGGTGATCCTGATAGAAACAAAACACCATATAATCTCCGCGGAGATTATCAGCCAACTAACGCGATCAATGATTATGGATCATGATGACATATGAAAGCTTCAGCAGATAAGAGAATTATTAGCCTTAGGTGACGCTAAACACTTTGTATCCTTTTCTTTGGGTTAGGAGATTTTTACACACAACGATTTTGACTCCTTATTGAGTGTAAATCCGGTTGTGTGTAAAAGTGTATGTAATCAGTGGTGAAATACAATTTTACACTCCTTCGGGCCCAAATTGTAGTATGTAAATTAGTCACGTGCAAAACCTGGAGTGTAAAAATCTACAGTACCGACCCCAAAGTTTAATTTTACACGCGATATTTTACACACCTCATAGTGGGCAAAAAAACTAGGGTGTAAAATTGAACTTTAGTCGCCTTACCCCTATTTTTGCACTCCAAGACATTACACACATTAAGGAGGCAAAACCCCCGGAGTGCAAAACTTCATTAGCCACCCCTGGACATACAAATTTACACATCATCCAAACTTAATTTTGACTTAGACCATTTTTTTTTTTCGCATTTTCTTTTCGTGTTAGTAGTGCTTACGGCGGTCTGGGTTGTTTCCTACCACTACTCCCTCACTGACTCATATATGCATAAACACTTCACTGACACATATATGCTGATGCTGAGCATAAACACAAAGTCCACCACTTAATCGGCCAATGTGCATTACATCAAGGCCCCCATAAAACCAGACACAGACTTTGAGAGAGAGAAAAAAAAGATGACTCCTGTGCCTACCTTCATAATCATTATCATCGGGACAAAAAAAAACATGTATAGTAACAAACACCAGACACAAGACTTTGAGAGACATGACATAAAAAACAGACGACTCCTGTGCTTACCTTCACAATCATTATCATCAGCACAATTTGATTATACAAGTTTCATGTATAGGAACAAACATAATAAAGCTACATTATTTCAAGTCATTTCTTCTTTCTCCCTTTAGGCTGAGGCGTGGCGTTCTTCTCGACAACTTCCTCTTTGACAACTGGTAATCCCGCCTTATCTTCCTTCACCTTGGCCTTGGACTTGCCCTTGGCGGTACCCTTTTTGGCCTTCGGAGCTTTCTGAGGGGACGGAGACTGTGACTTTGGGCGCTTGTTCACACGCAGGCGGACACTCAAGGGACCCTTCACCTCGGGCATTGTTGCTTTTTCAGGTTGTGTGGCTGGACGTGGTTCACCATGCTCCTCGTTGTCATCAATCTTTCTGACGCGAGGTGGAGCTGAGGACGAAGGACCTGAGCAGCAGAACGAGGTGAGCTCTTAATCATACAATATCATTGAGGAGAGGAACTGACCCTTTTCACTATGGCTGAATGCGACTTTGGCTTTATCCCTTTGTGAAGATTGATGCGAGGCCAAAGGAACCACAGCCCCTGCTGCTCCGGCTGGAGCTTGATCTTCGTCCAGTTCATCAACCGCGGGAGAAGCTGTTGGAAGGTTAGCCGTCAGCATGCAGCTCTGAAACACACTCACCACCGAACCGTTCTGACCGCACTTACCTGGTGCTGTAAAAGCCAGTTTGGCGTTGGTCACTGAGCGCTGACTCGTGACCAACCCACTTGGCAACGAAGGGGAGACCGCATTGCCCACAGGGAAGTCGGGCAAGTCCTCCTTGATATCTTCGATGTCGATGTCCTCCATGTCACCCGAAAGAAACGGCATATCACCCGGGGCGTCTGGATTCTTTGAGGTAATCTTGGCTATGCCAACGTCAATCACTTTCTGCTCGCTTGAGGTAGGCTTGCGTGAATAAATCAGCCAACTGGTTGAAGGTTGAGGGCCCGAAATCAAGGCGAGATCTCGACCCAGAAGCTGAGCGCGGCCGCCGTCCTTGCGGTCGTCAAAATGCCAAACCCCCCTGACCCCGTCTACGTATCTCACAATCTTGCACCAGTAATGATGAAACCCCCAGTAACCCCTTCCGACCACTTCATACCGAACGTCATTGAGATCCAAGCTCTCAGGCCAGTTCATCTCCCCCATGAACCTGGACCGATCATCCTCAGTAAGGCCGGCCACACCTCGTAGATGGAAATAAACATTCATCGGCTGATCAGTGAAATCCAAACGGCTTTGTTCGTACAAGCGAGGTACGTCATCGCCATCGGTATTCCCAACGGCAACTTCATCGGCAGAGAGATCAGCTTGGGTCGTAGGGGATTGAAGCAATTGATCATTGCGACAGGTAGTGCAACAACGGAGGTTCTGGGAAAAAAGGCCTTCCGTACTCCAGAGGGTGATTAGCTTGCCCACGTCCGAGTAAAGCAGATTGGCTTCATGGAATAGGTTGTTAGTAATCGCGACAGTCGCTCTGACAGCTGATTCAGATTCTTCGTGCGAGGCGACACGTGGACATTGATAGTCTCGTATCAAGTTGTAAGCAAAAAGGCGCCCCGCGGCAGTCGGCACGTTGCGTTTGGCGATGAGGAGGTACTCCATGAATAGATCGGCCAAGCAGAACGAGTCAGTCACAAAAGAGTCTGGCGAGATTTTTTGAACCGCAGATTGAACGGACTTGAGCCCTCGAGTCAACACCAACTTGATGTGGCCGGATCGATGCAATTCGGCTGAGAGCCTTGAAGAATAATGCCGGATCAATTTTGAGGCAATATCCTTGCCTTTGCCTTTGGATCCCGCGATCCACAAAGGTGAAAAAGTCGGATACAAAGCCTCCAAAGTAGATGTTTCCCAACATCGGTTCAGCTTACCCGGCTCGGTGCTCGCCGAGTACGACTGGTAAGAGGAATGCGGATCCCGGTTGACGTTAGTCGACCCAGCTGGACGTCCGAGCCTCTTGGGGCGAAGTAAAGCGTCCGTGGTGTCAGGGGGCCGACCGTCGTTGACGTCGGCACGGCGTCGAGTTCGTTCCTTCGACCATCCCATAGTTTCGACCACAGACTCCCAGCTGTTACCATATTTCACTGAGATCCCTCGTAAAACATTGTTGAAATCCCTTTTGAGGGATTCAGCAAATAGTAACAGCTGGATGAATCCCTGAATGATGGTACAGTGACCAGAACTGTACCATCATGAAAAAACCATCAGTAACAACATTGAGAGCTCAATTCAGAATGAAAAAAAACTTACGATAAAATATAATACTGTCTATGCATGGACTCTTGACCGTTTGTGGTGTCCGGAAAGTCGTGAGGATCCTCACCGTCTGGCAGAGGTGGATCATCCATGGGGAGGCGAGTCCGAGCACAGAACAACATGCTGTGGATATCGGCGGTGTTCCACCAGTCAATCCAAGCCTTGGCTTTGGGGAACAATCTGCCAATCTGGGAAAACTTGTCGGTGAGAGTGAGGTCTCCGGGTTTGTTGGGTTCGAGAAGGTCCAAGGCAAGTCGTTCGAACTCGGCCTGGGCGCAGGAGATCATATGTAAGCAAAGGTGATCTCAATAAAAACCAATGAAACTCACCAAACGACCTGCGGCCACAACGTTTCGGTTCTTCTTGACCTGAGTAATTGACTGGCGGTAATGTTCATGACACCCTTTGAGTTTGCTCAACGCCTTCGCGGGGTCGTGTTCTTTGAATACCTCCATGTAGGCCGCTACAAAGCCCTTCTTCTGCGCGGCAGAGAAGTCCACCACCTGTTGGACAAGGAGATCGCGTTCGTGAAAGGTCAAATCAGCTGCATTGATCTGGGCCAGGAGCGTCGTGAAGTGGGCTCGGTAATGGTTTTCTTCAAGACCCCACATCCATGTAAGCTGAACCGGGATCCATCGATGGAGGATTTCACTGTACATAGAGGTCGTCAAGAGGTATCCATGATGAAAAAACCGGTAAGTGACATCGGAAAGGAGCCCGCCCCCATACACCTTCCCATGAGCATCGCGTCGTATTAGCTGTTCAGCCATCCAATCCGTCTGGAACGTGATGTGAACGTTCAAACCAAGAAGCGAGGTTGATATGAGGCGACGCCCGTGACTGTGGGAGTGAACATCAATTGGACATAGGAGGTGGTCAGGAACATAAGTGAACGTCAGGAAAGAAGGTAAAAAATACGCCGCTTGACTTACTTGCCCCAATGCATTAGGTCCATAATGAGCCTGTCGCCGCCACCCTTGCTCTCTTTCTCGGGAATCCGTCCCTTCTCAACCAAGACCTTGCGACGTAAGTAAGCCAATTGCCCGCCGTTAGCAAAGGCAGGATGAATGTCTACCACTGGAGGGGTAATCGTCTGACCCGCACCAGCCTGGCCGACCTACACCAGGGAAAAAAGATGTCAGTATGTAGCTTGAGCGACCGAGTGAACGTGAGGCACAAGGGCTTCACTTGCCTTGAGAACCAAGGGTCCGGCTTTTGGGTTCTTGACTACCTCCTCAGTCAAATCGAGCATCGCCAAAGGATCGGCCTTCTTCGAGGCAGGCCAAGGGTGAGCGTGGACACCGGAATGCCGCAGGACTCCCCATCCAGTAGCCTTCTGAATATCAATTCGGCATATGGTGTGTGGGCATTGAGTCCAGATGTGAGTACCGCTACACTCGACAGCCGGGCAAACAGGATTCCTATGAAGAGATAAAAACATAAGACCATGGTCATCAGTCAACTCGAGAGCTGATGACCACATATAAAGTAAATCTAGCGTGACTTACTCTTTGACGTATTCTTCTGCTTTGCCTTCGGCGGTTGGAGGAGGAGCGGCATACGCGCAAAAATCGTCATCGCAACGAAGGACACCGAGGCAAGCATACCAGATGGTCTTCCAAGGGCCTTCCTTCGTCCCTTTCGTCTTCTGGGTGTGAGTGTAGGCGATGTGGCCGAAATTGGTGATATCGTCGTGAGCTCTCGACAAACACGGTGTCCCCGTTCGGATAGAGAGGATAGCCCTGTGGGTCGCGAGTAGTGCCATGGTCTATGAAAGTCTTGAGTTCACCGGTGGCTGGAACTGGTAACTTGAACTTCTTCCCAGTCTTCTTGGGTCTGCGTCGCGGCAACTTAGTAGGCGTCGGTGGTGGGGTTTCGGAAACGTGTGACACTGACACCGCTTCTGGGGCCAAATCTTGAGGCAACAACTGTTCGTGAGGGATCAACTCATCAGGTTCAGGTGAGACTGATCGGAGACTGTCGATATCGGACATGATCACTGGCGGCGTCGAGTTAATTTCAAAGGTATAAGCGAGGAAGTGGTGGATATAACAGAGAGAAATGAACTGGTCTAAAGGAAATAAACGAGATAAAACTTGTTGTTGGTAGAGGTAGAATTGATAAGATCGGAACAAGAGAAGGATTTGATGTAGGTTGTAGACCGAGATGGGTAGTCCAGAACCGTGTCCGTACAATGGAGGAGGGAAAGGTACAGCGGGACATGATAAAAGGAAGCTGGCCATGTTGAACATTTGAATCGGTTGGGGTGGTCCTTCAAAAAGACAAGGAGGCTGACGCAGGATCACCTGCGTCATGGTACGTGCTGCTGCCTTACTTTGAGTGCAATCAAGGAGGTTGGTCTTCTGAGAGTAGCTGTTGGGTATGGGTACGAGGAAAGGGGGATTGAATCGAGTGTCGTTCTTATGGATCTGCTCGTAGGTTGGTGACCAGAGGACGCACGGGGGTAGGATTGTTGCGCGTGATGTTAACATGCCCTGAACCCATGTGTTTGGTGATATCGAGTTGGTGTTGGCCGTGTTGGTGGGTATATCGTCGTCGAATCTTAGGTAGGCAGGTCTCGTCGAATCATAGGTAGGCAGGTACGCGAGGGTATCGATATCGAGAGTTCACTGGGAGGGATAGTTCAGGATAGTTCGCTGTGTCGAAGTTAGTTTTGGGGGACATCTGGTGCATATAGCCAATCGGAACCTTCGGTTATGCCGTACCCGTTGTGGCCGATCGGAGAGTATGAGCATGAGAGGAGTGTATGTCGATGGGGTGGAAAACTCGATTTCGGGGGGACCATTTGGAAAAAAAACACTCCGCAGGTTTACATCCAAAAAGGAGTGTGATTGACGTGGAGGGTAAAAATACGGTTTGGGGGTGTGTACAGAAAATTACACCCTGCTTTTTTTACATACCAAAAGGTATGTAAAAGGTGAGGTGTACAGTGGGTAAACCCGAGTACGTGTTCCAAGCCACCCTGCATAGAGCTTTGGGTCCAAAATTTTTGAGATTTTTTTGCCATTTTTTCTGCTTTTTTTGGCGGGAGAAGAAGGTCGAGGGGTGGTGCTAGGTTGCAAAAGTTTGGTTTTTTTTTCAAAAAAAGGCAAATTTGGAGGTTATTTGCCACTTGAGCCACCATATTCATCAAATTATGGGCCTAGTGCGTTGCTAAGTAGCTAGCTAGGTACCTAATTGAGGCCTAGGTCCGAAAATCCAAACCCCTAAAAGAGTAAAATCATATTTTTGGTCTCCAAAACCATATTCCTAGATTCATCAAAGCAATACCTTTTCAATGGTCTGGGTGCCAGTCTCAAACATTCAGATTGAGTGCCCCGACATTGCCCCAAAAGGTGAAATTGGATTTTGCAGGGCAGGTCGGAACACGTACTCGGGTTTACCCACTGTAAAATTAAATTTTCGGGTAGGAGCTGTACAATTTTACACTCGGGGCTTTGCACGGGATTTGTTTACACACTAAATTTTGAGGGAGTAGGAGTGCAAAAATGCATTTCACCCGTTGTGACATGCACATTTACACACAACCGGATTTACACTCCATAAGGAGTGTAAATCGTTGTGTGTAAAAATCTATTGACCCCTTTTCTTTTCGACGAAGGTAAAGAGAAACTGAAAATGGAAAATTATGGAATGACGTCATAGTAAATGCAATAACCCATGAGTCATGAAGGCCCGTTATGAAGTCAACCGACGTCATAACACAGCAATCGAGGAATCTGAGGGTCATCGAAGAGGTAGTTGACGCTGCAGTTTCTGGCCGAAGGCTGCACTTCAGCGCACAGGACACCGTAAAAACTCATCAGTCCTTCTTGAACGAATCTGCATTGCAACGAGGACAGCCAATAGATTTTCAACAAGCCAATATATCGATTTTACATTGAAGTCGGTGATGATACTTCATCGAGACACCAAGCTGAAATGTTACACTCCATGGTCATAACGGGTCATCCTTTGATGCTCAATACAAAGAAAGGTTCTGTCGAAGGAATTTAACAATGCCATGAATCTTGTTTTAGGGCGTCGGGGTTCACACTGACAAATATAAGTACTGCCAGATAATCAGACCACATTATCACCTCTCACCATCCTAAAATTTCGATTTTCAAACTTTGACTTTCATGCCGATGGCAATATTGATTTTCGCGTAAAAAATTCGACACCTTTTCTGATCACACACGCTACTGAACCAAACGCTTCCGAAGAGACATATTTATATCTCATCAACTCATTCTGGCTGTTTTGCACTATTTCATCTCTCTGGGAAATAAACGCATTCTATAGATATCCCGATCATCTACTTTTCTCAGATTATCTGAAGGTTGTTGAGCAACTGGCTCCGTTGTCTACTCATTCCTGTCTCTTAATCTTATCATCTTTAACACAACCAGTTGACTACACCGTAAGGGTACAATCATCTGTTATCCCAACCTCAAATCGCATTCTGTCATGGCTTTCATCCTAAAACTCACAAACCAAAATGGCTCATTCATCTATTACTTCAGCCTGGCTCTTCTATTTTTGTCTTTTGGTCCTCACCTTGTCATTAATAGCCCTATCCCAAACCCAAACCCATCCCCAATGTTCGGCTTCGTGAAAGCAGGCAAAAATGTGGCAGACGGGGCGACTGATATGGGAAGAGGGGTTCAATCACTCGGTACAAATGCGGCCGGCGGGGCCGGCGACCTGAGAAACATAGGATCAACTGTATCAACGGGAACCGAAACTCCTCTTTTGAGAGCATCCCCAGATAATTTGGGGCAGGCTGACGATGTAGCCAGATTCTCAAACCCAGTTGATGACGTATCCAAATTCTCAAATCCGGATCCGATGTTGACAGGAGCTAGTCAAATTGGAATGAATACAGCCAGACAGACGACCAATACTCTCCAAGGTTCAAGATCAGTTTTGAGCTTAGGATCAGTGTTAAAATCCTTTGGGAACTCTATCTACAGATCGTACTACAGACTTACGGCGAAGTTCTATGGATATCTACAAAGAAGTGCTTCTAGACAAGCAGAAAACCTCAACGAACAAATTGCATATTTACGCGCAAACAAAGCGCCCGATAGGCTAATCACCAATCTCTCAAAGAAGCGCCTCGACGCGTTTGGTCAAACAATCGTCAACCAACAAAAAGAGAGCCAGGCCCTTATGAAAGCAGGAGGTGGGATGAACATGCAATGATGAAGTAAAAACCCAATCACCCAAGCTTTGATCCAATTTCCCGGTCTCTCGAGCTCTTGCAAGTGACCCAAAAAGGAGCTTCGAAATTTTTTCGCGCTAGACACCAGGCGACTTGAATTGAGCATGTGGAAACTTGAGGAAAGAATTCCCCGGGGTTTCAAATGCTAACGCTCCATTAAGTGAACTAAGTCCCTCGAACCGCAGGCGTCCTCTGCAGCCTGCTGAGGAGGGACGATTTGCATGCTACCCTTTTCGAACTTTGTGTTTTTTGTCCATTTTGAACTCCATCTACACTACTCAACTCAGCATCAGACAATCAATATTTCTGAATCAGCCAAGTTGTTCCGCTCCATTTTGTACATATTTCTTTCTCAGATCCAGATATGTTCATTTGCATTGATAGTCTTTGGGTGAGAACTGAAGACTGTAAGATTGATCTGGGTTGATCATGTTATGATTCACTGAAATCGCGTTGCTACGGTTGTATTGGCACTGTGTTGTTATCTGCTGCCCTGAATTAGTATGATGCTGGTGTTGTTATGTTATGATGTCATTGATATGTTTCAATTCTAGATTTAAAATATAATTGTTCGACTAAAAATACAAAATCATCTTACAATTATTTTATCTTTTTGCTTAGGGCGCGTTCACTCAAGCAATTTTCTGGTCAGAAATTGCATCCTGCAAAATTTAAAGTGCTGGTTTGGTGGAGTATGGTTCATTTTTGCATTTTAAAATTTACAGAATGCAATTGCTGTCCAGAGATTGCTTAAATGAACACACCCTTATTGTTCTCTTTCTGAATTGTTCAAAGTTATTTTGTGTCAGCTTTTGATTTGTTCTAAAACAAATGCAATCCTACACAACAACCTCTCAACCATGAAGCTGAATCTGAATCAAACTCAATTCTTTAATCTGAATCAAACTCAATTCTTTATCAAAAAGGAAGGAGGTACAATTCAATTCTCAACTTTGATCCTATTGTTATAAGGTACTATCATCAAAGATTCTCTTATGATTCTAAATCATCTTACTCCAATGTGGACACCCTGTTGATTACATTGTCTGATTTAAAATTTGTGTTATAAAGTTGAATCTCTATCAGTGTAGTTTCTGTCAAGGTACTGCTTTTTGTTTATTTTTCACTGTTATCAAGTTTCATTGTTATAGTTACCTATGATGATATTAAATTTGTTAAGAAATCAAAAATATAAATTAAGAGAGATCCTAAGTTTTACCACATGGTATCAAGAGAGTCCTCTTGGCAAATTATATTTCAATCCTTCACATTCATAGTTTCTGTAGCCAACGTTGGGCCATTGCGTTGCGTTGAGAGCAACCGGCCGTTGCGCGCAACGCAACAAATTGAAATCTCACCTTGAACCCCACAACGTAATGGGCAATTGCAAATCCCGCTGCGTTGCTGGCAACACAGCGGGGCATTAAGATCAAACACAGGGAGACATGGGTCCAGGGTTATATAACCTATTTGGGTAGTAAAACCCGTTGCGGAGTTGCGTTGCTCACAACGGTGCCACAACGGCAACGCAACAGGGTGAAAACTCACATCCCATCAAGCAATGCACCGGGTAAGGGTCTGACCCGGTGCTTTGCGTTGATTTGCGGGGTTTTCCACGTTGCTTGACGTTGTGGTGCGTTGCTCACTCAGAGCAACGCACCGGCTCAACGTTGCTGTAACATTTTGATTAAAATGTCACAACCAACTTTTTTGACAAAGGCTTCTGATAAAGTGGATAAAGATACTGAAAAATCATCTGATTTAAACAATCATAACCCACTAAAGTTAAGATCACCAAGCTCACTCAAAAGAATTGGCATGAATGGCAAATTTGGTTCAAAAATATCCTTTTTAGAAAAGGTCACAATCACCTTTTAAATATAAAATATGTCAACACCAATCATCTTGAAAAACCTGTGTTCAAGTGCAAAAACCCTTGAGAAATCAACAAACTTTTCAAAACACTTTCTACAGAACTTTGTGCTATCCTTTTAAAGAATAGGAAAAGTTTCCATGACACTTATACTGCACAGTGCATTATCCAAATCCTGTGGTGTCTTGTCTATTGTAATGATTGGTGTCAACGTCCGTCCGGTCCGTTATTGATAGCGCTATATAGCGTATAGCGGAGCGCCTAGCACCATAATTACAGTGCTATAATTACGGTGCTCAACTGGCCCGCTATCCAATGAGCATGTAGGGTAATGTAAGATTTTTGTGCCGTTATAACGGAGCGTGTGTCCATATAACGCTATACAACGCTCTGGAGCGCTATGTTATACATGTTGTAGCGCTACACACAGCGCTACACATAGTATAATACAGGTTCACTTGGACAGACAACGGATCTCCAGATCTGGACAAGTTCTCGTCTTGATGAGGTTCAATCTTCCCCTTTAGGCAACTCACAATGCAAAAACGTCAAACAACACCCCTCGCCAATCAAATACCACGTCTCATACCCATCAATCTCACCTACTTTAAGCCAGGCGAACAAGCTAGTTTCCATAATGACAGGTGAGCAATTTGTGTTCAGTTTGAATCGATTTGATCTTTGATCTGATTCACTTCCACCTCCTCCGTTCATTCAATTCCACATATTACCTTTTCACTATCCTTTTTTCTAATCTTGTCCTTGACTCTTAACCACCCTTTCCAATAACTTAGTAATCATCTTACAAGCTACCAGTTCCTGCTACACATCTCTAGCATGACCGGACTTGAATCAACCCCTTCGAACTCGCTTCTTCGCCCACCAGGTTCAACGGCGACCCCTTCACGTCAAAGCCAGCGAACTCGTACCACTCCTGTATCCCCACAGATGGTCAGGACATCTCCGGACTCTCGTTTATCACTTTCCGTTTCCATCTCTCAACAATCAACTCGTCCATCGTCCAAAGGCGACCAGGAGCCACCCGTATCTCAATCACCCTGTCAAAGGAACAACGGTAAACGAGCTGCGGTTTCGAGTGATGCTACTCGCGAAGATTCTCCAGAGTCTGACCTAGTTGTCCATGTTCCTCGCAAGCAAAAACGGACCAATAAAGTGAGTTTGGTTAATTCAATTTTAAAAGACAATCAGCTTATTTCTATATGTGATTGCATAGCACATTGCTGCTCCTGAGATCATCGATTTAGACCAGGACAATGACACAGCTGAACCCAAGACTTCAACTCGATCAAAAGGTATACGCGTTCAATATCAGGAGGACGCTGAGGGTGTTGCAAGGTACTTCAAGGATCCTGACTATGTACCAGGCGAGGTAAGTACAGTCCTCAATAAGCCTCTCAAATATTGTTCATTTTATTGATTCTTTTACATATCCGCAGGAATCGACTGGGGTCAAGAGGTCTTATCGCTGCAATTGGTGCACTGGAGTTTATTCGAAAGGGCCAGCCGGATGGTCTAATCTCAAAGGCCATCGAGATGGCACTGAATCTCGTCCGGTCTGTCCTGGTCGTCGCCTTGCCGGGAAGACTATACTCGATCTGCCACCAACTTACCCTGAGCGTGTGGCTGCAGCTGCTGCTAAGGGTTCGAAGAAGAACACGACACTTGACAGCTTTGTGTCAAAGAAAAAGTTTTGCCTTGAAACTTTGAATGGTATAATGGTCATCTGGTTACTCCGACACGCTTTACCATGGGCACGAATGGACGATCATCCCCTTCGAGCAGCTTTTCGATTAGCCAATGTTTCAGCTTCTCTTCGTTCAAGTGTGTGGGCAGCACGCGCAGCTACCACCATCTTCAATGATATGCAAATGAATGTGGTCAACATGCTCAGGGTGAGTGACCGTCCATTTTAATATCCTTATACAAATCTTCAAATCTTTACAACACTAACTTAATTTGATACTAGAACATACCAGGTCGATTCACCTTGGTCCACGATGTGTGGACAACTAAAGGCAAGCGACATGCTTTTATTGGAGTCACCGCAACCTTTGTCGATCGTGATTGGAAATTCCAATCTGTCCATCTTGCATTCAAACTGATTGCTTGGCACCACTACGGAAATCTTCTGGCTCGGCCGGTAGCTAAATTTCTCATCAAGCACGGTCTACATAAGAAGATTGGTTTTTTCTTTGTTTTACTTGTTATGACCCAAAGTTATCATTTCAAACTGACATTGTTAATATTTTTGTTTATTTACATGTATGCCCAGACCACTGACTCGGGTTCAAACAATGCGACGTTGGCAACTGAACTTTCTGATCAGTTTGCGATGGCTCACGACCCAGTAAAATGGAATGCTGAAAAGATGCAGATCCATTGCATCGCGCACAAACTGGCCTTGGTGGTCAAGGATGGACTGAAGTCCGTTGACATGGCGGCCGGTCACATCAAGCCAACCACCCCGCAAACATCTCTACCTAATTTCACTTTAAATGAAGGACAAGAAGAGGTTGATATTCCAGCTGACTTGGATGATTCTGATTGCGAGGGGCACGGTATGCATGTTGAACTTAGTGACGACGAGGATGAACGAGTTGAACCAGAAGAAGATTCCGCAGTTCGCGGAACACCTCCCAAAGCTGCTGACCCGGTGATGCCATCCACCGGCTGGAAGGAAGTTGATGTGAGGCTAGCTGTTCGTAAGGTGAGTGTATATTAATCTTGAATGTTGATACAAGATCCGTACTAATAGAACTTCATGTATTAGGTCGACAAGGCAATAGCCTTAATATCGTCAAGTGGACCACGCCGTGATCAGTTCAAGGCTTTGTGAGGCGGTGGTAAAGGGATAGTGTCGGGAAGCTGTCATCGGTGGAATGGAAAGCACGACGCTCGACAACGTGCATGTGATGGATACAAGGTAAGTTAAACGTAAACTGTCAATAACATTACACTTAGCACCGTTTTCTTATATGTTCCACTATTCTTGAGGTTATCAATCAAATGTTGTCGGACGAATCCGGTGGAAATTACTACGGCGACCTTCATATCACCGCCAGCGAATGGGCTGCTGTTCGAGCTCTC